CGGTGATAGTGTCCACGTGTCGGGGATGCCGGTTTTGGTAGGATTTCGACATGCGCGCGCGGCCAACGCGCGCGAATGGCATGGTATTACTTGTCAGGGGTCGTGATCCCCCCTGGAACGCGTGCGCGGGCGTTCTCACGATGTCGGCAGGCGCGCTCGAAAGGCCCGCTTGGTCGCACTTGATGAACGCGTTGAACATCCTTTTGTTTCCTGCAGAACTCGCAAGAGCGCGCGGGCAGTTTTGTTGGGAAAATGGTATTATGTTTCCGGGGCAGTCGATGTTGAAGTCCCTGTGGAACCAATGGTTTTTGACACAATTCGGCATGCGCTCGCAACGTCGCGCGCGTGTGGGTGTCGCCACACATTTTGCAAATGTGTGTTTCATAATTGATGCTTTTGAGAAACCGAGTGCGCGCGCATAGTACTAGTCGACGACCGTGACGGGGTGGATTACAAGTTTGGCGGGGGCTATATGAGTGCATGTGTTTAAAAGGGGGGCAGATAGTGTGGACATTGCACATTTCCATAGGGATGGATCACTTCGGGGGGGACAGATGTGGAGGTTTTGTAACACGAAATGGTAGTGGTGCAATCTGTTCGGTGCAATCGACGTGGTGCAGTCTTTGTGGTGCCATACCAGTTGTGCAATGTATGTTGTGCAATCGTTGTGGAACAGTCTATGTGGTGCAAGCTATGCGGTGCAGTCTGTGTGGTGCTAATCTATGTGCCTCCGTCGATGTGGTGCCACCTGTGTGGTGCAACCGGTGTGGGACCATCTAGTACAATTTTGCGTGGTGCAGTCTGTGTGGCGCAGTCGGCGTGGTGCAGTCCATGCGGTGCAATTTGTGCGGTCCACTACATGCAGCCCACGTTGTACAATGTGGGCGGCGACGGGGCGCTGACTGGGCGGCGACAGCGAGCACGCTCTCGCCAGACCGCCACCCGGGCCCAGACGACGGACGGCGACGACGGGGCGGCGACGGCGAGCACAGAACCGCCCGTCCGCCACCCAGGCCCAGTTCGAGCAGCAGGAACCCGTAAGTGTAAGCATTGTTTGGACACTTCTGTAAATCTGATCGCTCTTTCTCTGTTCCATTATATCAATGTACGTGTGTTAGCCAGCGCGGTCCCAAACGGTTTTTTTGGGCAATCTGTGCTGTGCAATATAGGTGGAACTATAATGTACGCGGGTTTTTTTCTCTGGTGCATCACACGCGGTGCAATCCATGGGGTGCAACCTATGTGCTGCGATCTATGTTGCGCCATCTATGGTGTGCAATCCATGTTGTACGATCTCTGTTGCGCAGTCTATGTGGCGCAAAATATGTTCGGTAATCTATGTGAAACAACCTATGTGGTGCAATCCACCCTGGAAACTAGAAGTTGTCAACCCCTCCGCTCGCGCAACTATCCCACCCACCCGCAACTTTGGCTTGCACAATCAATGCGGCGGCGATTGCGATGACTGTTTGGCGCTGGCTGGCGCATCGCTTCGGCCGCGCTAGCGCGCGCAGGCTCGCGCGCACAACGGCCCGCGAGTCTGGCGCGACCGATGCGGCCACGGTGGCGCTGATCGCTGGGGATTTCCCAGCGCGTCTAGATGGCCTCGCTGACGCGCGGGCAGTTCCTTGCGGGTCAGTGGCTTGAGCGGGGTTGGGTATCGTGGCGACGTCGACAATGGCAGACACGATTGGAGACGATGAGTATGACGACGGCAAGGCCAATGACGGCGCCGATGCTGATCACGCCGATCGACGCGCGCGTGTGGACCTTTTTTTCTTATTGAAGGTATTATTGGACACGGGCGATTGTTGATAAACGTGTTCGCGCATCGTGTTGTTTGCAAGGGGTGATGGAGGGGGAGGGGGCATATCGGTTTGATTGGGATGATTTGGGTCAATAGGGAAAATCCACGAATGGGCCGACTCACGTGTAACTTGCACATCAACAGGGGGGCGGGTAATCCCGTAGGGGGGAGGGTATATTCTAATTATTGCGAAGGCTTGACGGCTGGTGCCGCCGACCCTGAGAACGACGAAGATGAAAACGAGGGGGGGCAGGGGGAGGAGGATGAGTGGGAGGTGGAGGAAGGGTGGAGGAGGTGGATGAGGGAGGAAGAGGGGGGATAATGATGTGGAGGAGAAGCAGATGAGGAGCAGGAGGCAGAGGAGAGCAGGGGCTCTGTTGGAGGCTTCTTGGGGCGTCTCGGGGCGATCTTGGGGGCCTGTGGGTTGTCTTGGAGCTTCGGGGAACGAAAGAAACGAAAACGCAATAATCTGTGGACAACGACTAGATTTGAAGGATTTTGCTTGTTTGGGCCTTCGTGGGATTGCGCCTGGAGGCATTTTGCGCCGTCTTGCAGACCTGTGGGGCCGTCCAGAGGCTGGGAAGACGTCTTGTACAGACTGTTCGGCGATTCAACTTTTCCTTGAATTGTCTTGAAGGCGTCTCGGGGCAATCTTCGCTCGTCCAGAGGCCTTTTTGAGCTCTGGGACCCGTCCCTGAAGGGGAACGACGACGGAGCGGCGGCGGTAGCGACGACGACGCTGATGTGGGTTGAGTCCTCAGGGGTGCTTCTTGGGGTCTCTTCCGAGCGCTCTCGAAGGCCTCTGGGGGGCAGTTTGGGGGCCCCTTGGGAGCCTCTTGGGGCCTCTTGGGGCTTCTTCGGGGCCTCTTCGGGGCCTCTTGGGGCTGAGGGCTCGAAATGTCCGTTCGGGTCCCCCGTCTGGGCACTCCCCTAGAGCCGTCTTTGGGGGTCTCTTGGGCCGTCATGGAGGCGATTTGGGCCGTCTTGGGGCCCTTTTCGGCCGTTAGGGGACCCTCTTGGCCTCTTGGGCCGTCTTGGCGCGTCGGGAAGCGGAAGAGGCAAGAACGCCAACATCTTTCAACAACGTATGGGAAATCCATGAATATTGCCTCTTGGGGCTCTCGTTGGAAAGCTCCTGGCGGCCTCTTGGGCCCCTTTGCAGGCCTCTGGGGCCGTCTGGAGGCCGTCAAGGCGTCTTGGACAGATCGTTCGGCGAGTCGGGGTTCTCTTGGACTGTCTTTGGGGCATCTTGGGGCACTCTTGGTCCGTCTTGGGGCTTTCTTGGGCTCCTGGACTCCCCGGGGGGCGTCGTATCTGACCCCACCCCCCCGGGACCCCTCCAGGACCCCCCCCCGGGACCCCACCCCAGGACCCCCCCGGGGACCCCCCCCGGGCGGGGAAGGGATCGAAGGGAAGGGGCTTCCCTTCGACTCAATTACGACGTTGCTCAACTTCGCTTTGGCTGGCGCGCTGAGGAGGTCCCTGGGAAAGGGAGGAGCTTCGACGAGCCCAGGGAAAGGGGGAGGCAGGGACAGGGGACGACAGAGACGATGACCAACGAATGACGGAGATGACGACTTGAACGGACAAGCCCCTCACACACGCCGACAGGGTCGGCGGATTTTCTAGAACGATAACATCTGTGGTGCAATATATACGTATTCACACACACATATATATGTATGTATACATCTACCTACATACATATAACACGCATGTATGTATGTATGTATGTATGTATGTATGTATGTATATATATATATATATTAAAGATGTGTGTGTGGTACAAGCTGGGTGGTGCAATTCATGTGGTGTGCTCCATATTGTGCAATCTGTGTGGTGCAATGACCGTGGTGCGATCTTTGTTGTGCACTTCGCGTGGTACAGTCCATGTGGTGCAGTTTGTGCGTCGACGGGGCGGCGACGGCGACGACGGGGCGGCGACGGCGAGCACGGAACCTCCAGACCGCCACCCAGGCTCAGACGACGGTCGCCGACGGGACGGGCGACGGGGCAGCGACGGCGAGCACGGCACTGAAAGACCGTCGCCCATGCCCAGACGACGATGGGCGGCCACGAAGCGACGACGGGGCGGCGACGGCGAGCACGGAGCCGCCAGTCCGCCACCCAGGCCCAGTTCTTTCGAAGAAGCGCGGGCTCCTGAGCGCAAGCACTCGGGGAAAAAATGGGGGGGGAGAGGAAACGAGAGATGTAGACAAAACAAAAGAGACAGAGTCAAAGAGAAGGAGAGAGAGAGGGGGAGATACAGACAGAGCGAGGCCGAGAGGGATAACGAGAGACAGCGAGGGAGAACGAGAGAGACAAATAACGCATACATATACATACATACATACGTGTATACATATAACGGGTAGAGCGAGGGAAAGCGAGAGAGAGAGAGAGGGACATACATATACGTGTGTATATACATGTGTATGTACTGATCCATAACATATATACACATATAGATCAGTAGGGAGAGAGTGCGAACGCGAGAGAGAGAGGGACATATAGATAACTATAGGGATGCATATACATAATTGCATACACACATATTTCTATATATTCACGTATGTATACGTATATGTATAGGTATATGTATTTGTTTATGTATATATAGACGTAGAGATATTCATAAACATACATACAGAGATAATGAGAGAGAGAGAGAGAACAATACCAACACATTAAGAGAGAGAGAGAGAGAGAGACATAGAAAACGATCAAGAGGGAGAGCTAGATCCTCCTCGCTACCCCCTCGTTTCTTCAACGGGGAGTTGGGGCCCTTGACCCTGCATCCCATCGTCTTGGGCCACTGATGAGGATTCATCAGGGGGGGTGCCTCGTCGTCCTCGTCGTCACCCTCGTCGCCCTCGTCGCCCTCGTCGACGTCGGCGGCGGCGGCTGCCGCCGTCGTCGCAGTTTGCATGCGGCTGCCCAGGGCGAGGAGGGCGAGGAGGGTGGGCGAGGAGGATGGGCGAGGAGGGCGGGCGAGGAGGGCGAGGAGGGCGAGGAGGGAGGGCAAGGAGGGCGAGGAGGGCGAGGAGGGCGAGGAGGGACGGCGAGGAGGGAGGGAGAAGAGGGAGGGCGAGGAGGGAGGGCGAGGACGGCGAGGATGGGCGAGGAGGGCGAGGAGGGCGAGCTGCCCAGGGCTGCCCCAGAGCGAGCGCCGCCGCCGCTCCCACTTCGGGAGCGGCCGGTGGACCTGCTGGCGCCCCTGGACATCGGCGCCCTCGCCCAGTCAGGCGAGATCGTCGTCGTCGTTGTCGTCGTCGTCGTCGGACGTGAAGGAGGAGGAGGAGGAGGAGGACGAGGAGGAGGAGGAGGAGGAGGAGGAGGAGGGGGAGGTAGGAAGAGGAGGAGGACGAGGAGGATGAGGAGCGAGGAGGAGGAGGAGGGGAAGGTAAGAGGAGGAGGACGAGGAGGAGGAGGAGGAGGAGAGTAAACTGATGATGATGCTGCTGATGATGATGATGATGATGATGATGATGCTGATGCTGATGATGATGCTGATGATGCTGATGCTGATGCTGATGCTGATGCTGATGCTGATGCTGATGCTGATGCTGATGATGCTGATGATGATGATGATGATGATGATGATGATGATGATGATGATGATGATGATGAGAGGAGGAGGAGGAGGAGAGGAGGAGGAGGAGGAGGAGGAGGGGGAGGAGGAGGAGGAGAGGAGGAGGAGGAGGAGGAGGAGGAGGAGGAGGAGGAGGAGGAGGAGGAGGAGGAGGATGAGGAGGAGAGGAGGAGGAGGATGAGAAGGATAGAGAGAGGATGGGAGGAGGATGATAGGGAAGAGGATAGGGAGGAGGAGGATAGGGAGGAGGAGGATAGGGAGAGGAGGATAGGGAGGAGGAGGGAGGGTGGAGGACAAGAGGAAGAGAGGAGAAGAGGAGGAGGAGGTAGGAGGAGGAGAAGGAGAGGAGGAGAGAGGAGGAGGAGGGGGAGGAGGAGGAGGAGGAGGAGGGAGGAAGAGGAGGAGTCGGAGTCGGAGTCGGAGGAGGAGAGGAGGAGGAGGAGGATGATGAGGAGGAGGAGGAGGACGAGGAGAGGAGGAGGAGGAGGAGAGGAGGAGGATGTAAAATCATGATGATGAGGAGGATCAGGAGAATCAGGAGGAGGAGGAGGAGGAGCAGAGGAGGAGATGAGGAGAGGAGGAGGTAAGAGGAGGAGGAGGAGGAGGAGGAGGAGAGGAGGAGGAGGAGGAGGAGGAGGAGGAGGGATGAGAAACAGGAGAAGGAGGAGGCGGAGGAGGAGGATGATGATGATGAGGAGGAGGAGGAGGAGGATAAGGATGAGGAGGAGGAGGAGGAGGGGGAGGAGGAGGATGAGGAGGATGCGGGCGAGGAGGAGGAGGAGGAGGCGGAGGAGGCGGAGGAGGAGGAGGAGGAGCAGGATGAGGAGGAAAAGGAGGAAACGGAGGAGGAGGAGGAGCGCCACGGATTCGCAGGTGTCTGCAGGCTGGGTCCCATGCAGGGGCCCCTGTCCAGCATCAAACTATTAATCTGCAGCCTCGGTTGCCGATCGATAAGCCATGAACCACACAGCTGTATCTCGACATGAAAGAGACGCCGTATCGCATCCCTAACCACTGTCAGTCCACTACCCGCCCCCTGAGGGGCGGTGCCGAAAGAATTTGAAGGAACGAGGCTGGGGCAGGAACAGAGGAAGAGCGTTGGCTCATCTCATAACCTAGCCCCAGCGGGTCGTCCCCCCCATCATCCTCCCAGGCCTCGCCGAGGCCCTCCGAGACGTCAAAGTCAAAGTCACCGAGCTCGGCGGTCCCAGGGTCCCCAGGGGGGGGGGGGGGGGGGGGCGTCCTCTGCTGGGGCGTCAGCCGCGGCAGCGGCAGCTGGGGGCACGGGCGTTCGCGCCTCCAGCTGGGCTTCAGTGTAGCGGGCCTGGCGATCAGGCAGTGGCCGAGCCTCTTCACGGGCAAGGCATGTTCTAGTCGCCACCTGGTGTAACACAATCGCCTGCTGAGTTTTCCGCTTGACAGCAAGTCGGGTGGCCAGGGACAGGGTGTGTGTATTTACAGCATTCGTGGCATCTTCATCAGCGCCACGATTCAATTTTTCATATATCACGGGGATTCTGGAGTCATCTACTCCTCGGGTTCCTAGGTTCGAGTTCACGTGGGTGGCTCTGATCAAATCTTCTTGCGTAGACATTCGGGCTCGGACCCAAAGGGCAATTCGGTCCCACACGTCGGGGTGCTCTGGGTTCTCCAGAGTTCCGCCTTTTAAAAGGATCTCGAGTTTCGCTACCACTTCCTGGTTGTCCGCCAGGAGATGGATTGGGCTCTCACACGCAGCAATCGCATGGGCCACCGCCAGCGCTTCAGCCCTTTGGGCCGATTGGTAGGGGCCGAAAGCCCGTTCACTGTAATTTAATCGGTGTCCTGGCCCGTTGTGTACAGCAAAGGCAGCCCTGGGAAGAAGGAGGTGGAAGGCATCAGAACACGCCCCATCCGTCGCCACGAGGATCCACGGCCCCCTCGGCTCCCATGGCTCACCATCGGTTTCTTCCCAGAGCGTGTGTTGAATACTCCTATCGTGCTCATCGCTGGCCTCAGAGCTCAGGGGAGGTCGAAGTCGCGGTTGGGGAGGGTCCAGGCTCAGGCTCTTTCGAAACTCAAACAGCTCCACGTGTTCCAGAAATAGTCCACAATGTCTCGTACACGGAGGTAAGCGATTCCATTCATTTCCGGGGATACTGTCCAAGAGGGGCCTCAGAATTTGGTCCCAGGCAGGGCACTCCCGAAGAATGTGTTCCTGGGTTTCTTCGGGGCCGTTACATAATCGGCAGATCGGATTGGGGTCGGCACTGATTTCAGCTCGGGCCATTCTCTGCTGAGTGTGGACCCCCCCGCATAGGAAACCCAGAAGGAGGGAGCGGCTCTTTCCCTCCAGCCTGAATCGCTGCCGCTTGGTGCGTAGGGGCCAGGTGTTGTCGAACGAGTCCAGGTGCTGGGTACTGGTGCTCAGCATGCCCATGTCGTTCCTGGTGCGCGGGATCTGCTTTTGAAACCACCGTCGTTGTGATACTCGTAGTTCATGATATAGATAACCTTTCGGGCATGAAATCCAGTCCACCCGCATGCCCTTCTCCGTGTACATGATAGTGGGGTCTGGCCATGTCCATTCCAATTCCTGCAGAACTTGATTTAGCCTCTTGATCGGTCCTGGTGGGTCTGATGGGCCTTGCACAGCAGGGCCAGGGCGCTCCAAAACTCTACGTAGCGCACGAAGGGCGACTGTGTGTGGTACGATCGCGTGGCCTTTGATACCAATATGAAACAACATCCAGCAGCAAATCCACTTGTTTCCCCGTGGGCAGATGGCGTTAAATGCAGCCCGCCTGAAGGTATCCATCGTTTTCTGTGGTGGTAGAGCCAAGCCCATTCCAATGGCAAACATAGCTGCGGTCAAAGCTCGTACCTGTTCTCCTTTATCTGTGATACTTAAGGGAACTCTCTGGATCCGTGTCAATCTTGGCAGAGCATCTTCAAAGCGTTTTTGCAACAGCGATGTGTCCTGGTTGCCCAATGCCACAACATTACTCCCAACAGGCTTCACACTGTCCGTGACATTCAAGGGCTGGCCGTCGATCTGGATGTGCTGCAGGTCGTCCTTGATTCGTTCAGCATTTGCCCACGCCTGCACCTTTTGCGGATGAACCTTCTGTCCTGAGTGCTGGTCAAATTTCAGCGTCTCAGTAATAGAGATGATCATTTCTTGAGTGTTAGTGACTGTACCGTTGGAGTCATCAATGAATGTGACTGACAAACTTCTGGGAATGTATTTGTGCTGTCTGGTTGCCCATACCTACATCAATAATTTGACATCGTCCAAACTGAAAGCAGATCCTTGCAAATGTGCATTCGTAGTGGTGAAGAAAAGTCCAACAGAACCCGCCATCTTGGTAATGCGCTGGTGCTGGGCATAGAACGCCCTCCGTGTGTCCACAATCTGTTTCGGGCAGCCCGCGTGGATCTGTAGTCCCATCACCACATCCGTGACCAAGTAGTCAAAACACTTTTGTCGGTCTAAAGCTAGTCCCATGCGTTCTTCGCCCTCGTGGTGACCTGCCGCTATCTGCAGCGCCAAGTTCGTCGAGACATTGTGTAGGCCCGCTCCTGCCGTGGCGCCATAGCTTGTCGCATGTGTCCATTTGGCTCTCCAGGCCGAGAGTTTCTTATACAGTGGGGCTTCCCAGGCATGCCGCCACAGGCTCAGAACTGATAACAGGCGTTGCTCGAGTGGATATCCCCCCTCTCCTTTCTTCAGACATGGGTTTACTGCTGCTCAGAAAGACTGCGGTACCTGTTGTGTGTCCAGCATCCACCTCAGGCCTTCCGCAAAAACTTGCACAACACACGGTGGGGGCGCACGGGCCTCTTTAGATGTCCATCCATCTAGGCCGCCCGCTTTACGCAGTCCACGTCCTTTCACACACCGAATGACATCATCGTCCAGCAGATCGGGCATGGTACACTGCACATGAGGCGGAAGTTCTCTCTCATATTCAGCTGCGAAATCTGCCCATGTAGGTGTTTGTTCCGCCCCTCGATAACGGGCGAAAATAAGATCCCAGGCTAAATGTAGCAAGTGAGGAATCATCGTCGGGTCCGTGATGTACTCCAGCGTGTGTGGGTCCCGCAAGTAAGTGGTCGGCGCTTGCTGGGGCGGCTTGGCCCATGCACTGGTGTAGCTCCCGTGGTGTTTCGCATCCAACTTGGCTCGATCTATCCAGTGCCGTGTGCGTTGCTTTGCCGTTTGTATCTGCCAGAATTTGAGCTCCTCGCTAAGAATCTGGGCATCTTGCGCACAAATCGGGCGCGGTGCGTTCCACCTGTCATCCCAAGTAGAAATTTCTGGTGTCATTTTCTTAACGTCCGTGCAAATGTTGTCCCACAGTCGGTACCATTGCCTGCTGTCCTCTGCGCACGTGGGTGCTCCATGTAGTTCAATACGCCGTGTCTTTACTACGTATTCGTGAAGTCGCTGATCCAGTTTGCACAGTTTCCATATCGCCCGCGTCTGAGCTCCATGTTCAGCGGTTTGAGGTGCATCCGTGCCCTTGACAAAAGTAGGACACTTACCGCGTCCATCCGTAGCATGATGGGGGATGTCTTGACATATCCGTCAGGGCTTCGCCCCCTGCCGCCGGCCCCCTCTCTCGGAGAATGGGCCATGGAAGAGCTAAGTCATGAGGCTTTGGCGTTGTC